CCAGGAAAGCAGGGCTCCATCACGTGTAATGGTTACTTGGGAAGACAAACGCCACCACTCCGAACGTCCTCCCCTTGCTTCTTCTTCCCACCCACTCTATACGCTGAGCATGACATCATACGGTATGGAATATCCCTTTGGTCAAGTTGGGGTCGCTGTCCCAGCTGTGCCCCCTCCCAACTTCTTGTGCACCCCCAGCCCACTCACTGGTGGGGTGGTGTGAGGAGCAGAAAAGGCCTTGACTCTGTGTAAGCACTGCTCGGCAATAACAAAAGCATCCCCGTGTTATCTACGCTTTCCAGCACAAATCCAAAACACAGCCCCATACTAGCTACTATGAAGAAAACTAACTCTACCCCAGCCAACACCAGCACGCTGACTGAAGTTAAAGCAGCTGATGTAGCCGAAGGACCCTCGCAGGGTTCCAGCAGCACCCTCTCCTGGCCACAGACAGGTGAGGCAGTTTTGTTACAGGCCATTAGGGACTTTGGAGATCTCATATTCATTCCTAAGGAATTTTGAGTTTCCTCACAGGATCGTATTTATGCAATGATAAAGTACAGAATTGGTTCCCCAGTAAACAAAAACAATGAAAAGCTGCTATTTTCTTTCTTCGGATCTGTAAATTTATATTATTGCAATTTGAACAATTTCATTTAACAGAATCATAGAATCATCGAATACCAGGTTGGAAGGGACATCAAGGAACATCTGGTCCAACCTTTCTTGGCAAAAGCATGGTCTAGACGAGATGCCCCAGCACCCTGTCCAGCTGAACCTTAAACGTGTCCTACGTTGGGAAATCCACCACTTCCCTGGGAAGATTATTCCAATGGCTGATTGTTCTCATTGTGAAAAATTTTCCTCTTATGTCCAGTCAGAATCTCCCCAGAAGTAACTTGTACCCATTACCCCTCCTCTTTTCCATGGGACTCCTTGTAAAAAGGGAGTCTCCATCTTCTTTGTAGCTGCCGTTTCAATACTGGATCATGGTGATAAGGTCTCCCCTAAGCCTTCTTTTCTCAAGGCTGAACAAACCCAGTTCTCTCAGCCTTTCCTCATATGGCAGGCTTCCCAGTCCTTTGATCATCTTTGTGGCCCTTCCCTGGACCATCTCCAGCCTGTCCACATCTTTTTTGCATAGCGGGGACCAAAACTGAGCACAGTATTCCAGGTGTGGCCTGACAAGTGCTGAGTAGAGTGGGATAATGACTTCTTTGTCTCTGCTGGTGGTGCCCTTGTTGATGCAACCCAGCATCCTGTTGGCTTGCTTTGCCGCAGCAGCACACTGTTCACTCCTATTGAGCTTGTTGACCCCCAGGACCCCCAGGTCCCTTTCCACACAGCTGCTCCCCAGCCAGGTAGATCCCAGCCTGTGCTGCACTCCTGGATTATTTTTTCCCAGGTGCAAGACCTTACACTTGTTCTTGTTGAACTTCATAAGGTTCTTGTTATCCCACTCTTCCAGCCTATCCAGGTCTTCCTGCAGGGTGGCTCTCCCTTCTGAAGTGTCCACTTCCCCACTCAGTTTGGTATCATCAGCAAACTTCATCAGGGTGCGCTTGATCCCATCATCCAGATCACTTATGAAGATATTAAACAGAGTTGGGCCCAATATCGATCCCTGGAAGACCCCACCTGTGATGGGTTGCCAGTTTGAAAAGGAGCTATTTACCACCATCCTCTGGGTGTGGGCTGTCAGCCAGTTCCCCACCCACTGCACAGACCACTTGTCTAGACCGTAACATGTAATTTGATTGACCTATTCTTGTTGCTCCTGGAAATAATACTCTGACAATTGAGATGAATCAAAGAAGCTTCCTCCTCCCAACAGGCTTAAAAAGAAGGAGAAGAGAAAGCTGGTCTGAATCTAAAAAATGCATTAAACGTTCCATAGTAATTCTCAGTGCTTTTGAAGAACATTTAATAGAGTTGCTAATATATGGTGAACTAATCGTGGGAGTCCTTTGACATTTCTGGTGGATCCTGTCACAACTTCTGCTACCATTAGAGAATTTATTGGGGAATTGATAAACTGACAAATTCCCTAGCTTTCCTCACTTTTCATAACTGAGACTTTTCCTATTGGGCTTTTGATTTGTTCAAGTCAAAGGGGAAATAAAGGTAGAATAAACCTGTTAGAGCACTCCTGCTGAGAGAAGAGTCTGCAAATGAACTTCCATTAGCACAGACAGTGGACACCACTTCCTCAGTGAAATTCAGAAATATCAATGAGGTTCAGTACATGGTGATGAGCATACATAGCAAAAGAAATTTTTCATATGATTGAACAAAAGTCAAATGATTAACCCTCACCAAGTGAATTAACAAATCAAGGAGGTTCCATGCTCTATGATTCCATTGCTTCCAAACAATTGCTATTTCGTTAGTCTACTGTATTTCGTTTTTCTTGGTATTGTTTCTTAATTACCAGTTCAATTCTCTGTATTGAAGTATTCAACATCTTAAACAAAGAAGTAATTACCTTGACCGATAAAGATGAATTATAACCCAAACATCCTCTGGAGCATTTGTAACTTCCTTTACATACTGCTCTCCACAAATTTCCCTTAGCTCCCCATACTTTTGTATCCTCTGAAGACATTTCCATTCTTGCAAGCATTGCTGCCTAATTAAACAGTAATAACAAAAATAAGCACTTGGAACATTTTAAATGCATTTTTAAAATAATATCTAGTGCTTTTCTCTCAATTACTTTAAAAAAATGCATTGAGTAACCCTTTGGCTCAAGGTCTTCTAATGTAATTTCAGAGCTAGAAAGGCTTCTATCCTAATCTTACTCAATAAGATAACACTAAAATACATTTTCTTAGTTTTATGTTCCTCAGTATCAGATTTGGGAAACTTGAGTAACAAACATGTTGCAAAAGGGTTTTTCATTTGAGACAACACAAGAAAAAATTAAAGCAGGTACTAATTGTTTCTCTGTTTCTGAAAATGAGATTAGTTTGAGGAAGAATTACCAGTACTTATACTAATATTTATGAGACAATTTAAAAATAATCCATGAAAATTGGAATGTAAAAACAGTAGATGGCAGTCTTCATCTATAAAGATACTTGCAAGGTAGAAAAGGAAAATGCCTCACTGAAAGCTGTTGAACTAAAAACAGCTATTAATTTTACTAACTGAAAGCCACTATAGAAGTGGCTTTTTCAAAAAAGATTAAATCATATATGTGCACTGTTATTATACTCTAGCTACAATGCATGATAATTTAGGTTCACAACTTCCACATAATTATGTGAATTATTATCTTCCTAGGAGAATATAGCACAGAGTTAGCACTAGAATTCTTTTAGTCATTTTAACAATGCAAAAGCAGTAAGTACAGGTAGAATCTAGACAGAGGAAATGTTTTGATCATATTAGCATTTTTATTCTGTATCTCATTTTTCTTAGTTACAGTACAAAGCTCTGCAGAACTCAGCAGAGTACTTTGTAAAATACCTACAAAAATATACACGTGAATGTCCAGCATAGCTAAAATTACTAAGTCTCCATAAAAGCTGCTGAAATTTTGTGAACCTGAATTCATAAAGCATATTGACTGTGCATGGTATTGTAAGTAAAGTGATTTGTGTACTCTTATTAAATCTTTGAATAAGGTTGTGTCACAGTTATGCCTAAGAAGAGGACATGGTATGTCACAGAATTACACAATCACAGCATGGCTGGGGTTGGAAGGGACCTCTGGAGGTCATCTGACTCGACCCCCCTGCTCAAGCAGGGTCAGCCTTGAGCAGGCTGCCCAGGAACATGTTCAGATGGCTTCCGACCCTCTCCGAGGATGCAGACTCCCCAGCCTCCCTGGGCAACCTGTGCCAGTCCTTGGTCACCCTCACAGTAAAAAAGTGTTTCCTGATGTTCAGAAGGAACCTCCTGTGTTTCAGTTTGTGCCCACTGCCTCTCATCCTGTCACTGGGCACCACTGGAAACACCCTGCCTCTGTCTGCTTTTTACCTTCCCTTCAGATATTTATAGACATTGATTAGATCTCCCCTGAGCCTTCCTTCTATATAAACTTCAAACGAATATTTTCATGAAGTAAGAATTAGAGAAGCCATTAAAATTAATCTTGCATAAGAAGCAAAATAAACACAATAGTCCTGTATTAGGGGTCCACAGCTGACTTGATAATCATCTTTCAAAAACACACAAGTTTATCAACTACCATCATTCCAACACAGAAACTGCAGTGTATGATGTAGTGAAATTGTAACTCATAATGAATTTTATGTTGCATTTTTATTTCAATAATGTATTTAGAAAGCATACTGTACCAGAAATGAGTGCTATCCAAACGGCAGAGATGTATTTCGCTTGTAAAACTCAGATTAATTACTTAATTATCAATTAAAAATATTAAACAGTTTGATTCCTTCATTGACATACAATTTTCTTCTTTAATGATGTGCCATCCTAATATAGGTGGCACACACTCTGTATGCACAAACTCAGTACCTTTTACAAAGTTGGGGCCATGTATGTTGGGAGCCTATTTTTCCTAATGTTCTTGTGCAACATGATAGAAAAGGGATACCCGCGACTGACTGTCGATTTCCTCCCAACTTGAAACCCACAGAAATTGCTATCCAGAAGAGATGAGAGAAAATGGGATACAGAACTTCTCCTTTCTTTGGATATTGATCAGCATTGCTCTAACTCCTGAAGACTGGCAGAAAGTATCTTCAGAGTGACAGAGTGAGAGGTACAGTTTAATAAGGCAGAGAAGGAACCCTACTTGCGTAACAGATAAATGTTGAGTATACAACACTTCAAACGTGCCACACCTCTAAACACACAGTAGCACAGTCTATCATCAGGCGAACTGAGAATGTGTAACAGTGTTTCCCACTGTGGCCCCTTCTATTCTTTTTCTCTTAAATATCCAGCTTTGAGACTCAATTAAGTATTTCAAAAGGGGAATAATTTTGTTCTAACAAAATGTCAAAGTAAAATATAGTGTAAACTGCCTCTCTTTGCCGTGGCAATCAGGAAGATGTAGGACAGTAACGTGAGTGCTGTCTATCTGCTGGCAGAGGAGTGGAAGGTGAAAGAAGGCAGTTGTGTCAGTCAGTAGACATTACTGTTCAAAAGATTCTGCATTTATGTTTCAGGAGCATGCACATGTACGATAGTGACATGTGCGCTGTCAATCTGGATAGAAATACCTTACTATACATGTACATTTCAATAGCTTTCCTATCAGCCTCATCAAAGTAATTTTCAGCTTCCTTTAATTCTTCAAGATTCATTCTTTCATACGGTTTCACCAGAAACAACAAACAAAAAATTAAGTCACCTTTTGTTCTCCAAAGTGTCTTCAAACATTTTAATTGTATGAAAAGTATTACACAGACATGGAACTAATGAAAGAAAAAGATGTTCGGAAATTAGTTAACTTTTGTATAGCTCTGGGTAAGAGAGAGAAAAAAATGAAATTTATTTAACTATAAGTATACAGGAAAATACAGAAATACAGCAGTGGATTTCTACCAATTTTTCAGAATGTGAATCTTGCTTATACTGACTGGTTCCTTTATGAAATGATGAAAATGAGTTATCTGTACATGTTATATGCCATAATGTTTGTCGCTAAGTGTGTTGGATATTTAATTCAGAATTCTTTCTAAAATAAACAAGTGAAAATAATTAAAATAAAAATATAATTATTGTACAATATTTAAGTTACAAAACGCATTATTGAAAATACCTCAGCTTTTCAAATTTTCTTATACTAATGGTATATATTTTTAATTTTACTTGCCTTCTGCTTCTTTCTGCAAGTATAAAAACATTTTTTCAATGTCATCTTTTGGTAGAAGAATTCCAAAATCTCTCAGTATGTCATTCCATTCAGTATCTTCATTTGGATCCTGTTTTAATATTATGAAACAGAACTAAATCAACAAATCAGTCTTGTGTGCCCTTTTTTAAACCAAAACCAGCCCTTTTTCATTTTGGCATATATTAAGGATGTAACAAAAAGAAACCATTACTTAGAGGCTGAAATACCTTCATGGACCATTCTCTAGCATGAATTTTCGTTTGTCATTTTTCACTTCTGAACAGAAAACAGCAAGAAAATAAAAGAGAAAGAAAACTCAAAGTGTAAGCATAGATAAAATAATCAGTCTCCAAAATATGAGCAAAAAATTGTCTAAAACATATATGGAAACCTACTTCAGAAACTCAAAACTATACATCACTTACTTAAACGCACTTAAAGAAATAAAGCTTTATACAGGCAAGATTTTTGTATCAGTATTTTTATGTTACTACTAAGAATAAGGTATTGACAATGTGAATAAACGTGTAAAAGCATGCCTAGAATCAGAAGAAAAAAAAACCTTTTTATTTTAAATGAATGATTAATATTAATGTGTCAACATAAGCTAGTTCATACACCATGTTTATAAGACAGGACTTCTGCAGGTGTTAAGTCTACATTTGTGGTAATTTTAATTAAATGGTTGAGATAAAGGAACTGCATGCTATTTATAAGATTACATTTCTACTGAAATTGTCACATTAAAAGAATCTGTTTACTGTAACTGGACTGGTGTTGGCATGGTAGAACAGCAACACGTTAGGGGACCTCTCATGGATTAGAAGTAGTAAAGCAGATTTTGCAACAGGTTGTTAATCAAAAAGTGTGGTATTTTTGGCCCTGAAATAACAACTTGTTTGAAAACCTTCACAAAGAAATCTCTGCATAGATAATTATATATCAGAAATATTTAATGATATTCATAATTCCATAATAATACAGCATCAAGTGAGTAAAAAGTACATTACAAAAATTCTACCTGAGGAAGCATCCAGGATTTCCACTGGATTACTACCATGCCCATGAGTACTACATTTGCCTTTCCCACCAGTGGCTGCCTCATTTTTATTCAACAGATCTCATGTACAGAATTTAGCATGAGCGTAATGAAACAAATTCTAATTCAAATGCTACGCATGCTTCAACAAATTTCACAAAGGTAAAAGAAGTGCTTTGCATTTCAGGTGAAAACACACTTGGGAAATCCACAAAGAGAGTAAATAGAATTATGCTATTGCTCACAAGAAAGTTAAGTACAGTGGATTTGCAAGAAGACTCTTACCTCTGCCAGTTTCTTCTGGCATGAGTGAGGAAGCAAGACTTTGCTGAGTTTGGAGTGGAAAGGAAGTGGCAACAGTTATGGCAGTTCCTGCCACAGTCCTAATGCACGGGCTCAGCAAACTGCAGGCAAGGGTACAGCTACCAATATTGGCTACTAGTGGAGCACTCTGGCTTTGCAAACATCTAGTGCCTTATTGCTAAGATAAAGCAGAGATTTCATACCTGAATACTTTAACTGATTTCTTCTGCAAAGCTCCAATATCCAGATTTTGGACTAGAAATGACAACTCCATTGTAAATAGTTAGTTATTATATTTGGAAAATTATTTTCTGTAACATTCTACCTCTAAGGATATGGTTATTTCATCACCAAGTCTTTCAAATATACCAGCAAACTTACTTTAACTTTATCCACATAGGAAAACATAGATAAAGAATTAAGAACAAGTGATGTTTTCTCCTTTGATTGAAAAGTAATTGATATAATCCATGGGAAAAAATAAAAGAGAAGCTTCATATATAATCTAATGAATTAGACAGTCACCAATGGGTCTGGAATAGGAAAAACCCAAATGAAGATTTTGCTGTAGTGTAATTCCCCAGGGTTTACTTACATAAAATATTCTTACAGTCAATCTTACTGCAAGTCTTCAACCCTTCACCAAAGAAGAATTTTGACTTAGGTACAGCCAGCGTATCAAAAAAAATCCACAGAACTAAGAGGACTACTCCTCCAAGGGAACCACTGAAGAAAAACAAATGATTCACAGGCTCTTTGGCCTCCACACAAGTGCTTTAGCATATGATTTCCTGACTTAAGTCAGATTTCCCCACTTCAGAGAATGCAAATCCTTCTCCATCGCAGAAGGATTACGAAGAATCATGAGGCATTAAAGAACATAATAAAAATCATCATCATAACTGGACAAATTATTTCAAAAGCACGCAACAAAAAGGACTAGTGAAACAGAATTGGAATGTAGGCACCTTAGAAGATAAGCTCTGGTCAGTTTTTGCCAGGGAAGATTTTGACATTTTGTGTTTTTTCTGTAAATTTAGGTCCTACATAAAATCTTTCCATAGTATTTTACTTAAATGGTGTATTTTATACTATTTCTATTTAATGTTTGTAACACCTGATGGGTTTGTGTAACCAGTTGTAGACTGGACATTTTCTAGGTGCTGTTACATCTACAAAATGTAAAAGCAAAAAAAAATTGTATCAAGAATCCTAGATCACAGTAAGCATAACAGAACCGGGGATTTCTCTCTGATAAATCTGAACTCCAGTCTCAGAGAAGAGAAGATCAGAAGCTAGCAAACCTTTAACAATTTTTTAAGAAATTGAGTTAAATAATGTTTAAAAAGTTGGTGTTAAGTGATTAGTTCAAGGTCGCAGTAATATGCACAGATGAAATAAATCAAAAAGTGCGTAAAAACATTCAGAAGATATTTGATGGTGCAAGGGCAAAGGAGCCAGGCAATGGCAAAAGTGATCCAGCGGAAACTGGTTTTGGAGTATGAAGCTAGACTGCTGAAGCAGTATTACTCTACTGGCAGGCCACAATCCCAAGTGAAAAAACTTCTCATGACACTTCTCACTGCTGCCGATGATAATGCTAATTACCACCAGCTTTGCCAGGGGTAATCCATAGATCAAGTTTGGGAACCTACAGGCTGGATAACTTCAACCCTTAAGTGTAAATAACAATTCTGGTAAATTTAATTTGCCGTTCTGTCTTTTCTGGCGAATGACATGAAACAAATTCTCAATTATGTTTTTAAAATATGCTACACCTACAACCGTCCAGCTATCAAAGTGCAGTATTTCATTATTCTTACAGGATTGTAATGACGTTTAATTCTTAACCGTTAAAAACTCAGAGTTTCCTGATGTATTCGCACAAGAAAACCCACATAAACTGCTCTCCTATTTGCCCTGTCTTGGGACCCCCGCAGGGGCTGGGAAGGCTACACAGGCCCGGGGCAGCGACACCGGCTCTCTCTGCGGGGCCCTGCAGGCCCTGTGGGGCCCTGTGACAGGCCTGGCCGCGCCGAGGGGGCCCTCCCTGGTGGCCGGCTTTGCTCCTGCCCTCCCTGCCACCTTGCCCTTCTCTCTCCACCCAGCAGGCATGGCGGTTGCCTCAGGCAGCACGACAGGGCTCTCGCAGCAGCCAGCACCATTCTCGGCCCCCTCGCAGCACCCAGCACCTCTCTCAGCCCCAACCGCTGCCCACCTGCAGCCTCCCCCAATCTCCTTGGTGTCCCCGCCCCAGCTCCCTCATCGCTCTTGCTGCTGCCCCAGCAGGACAGCTCGGGGCCGGGGTCACCCTCTGCGCCCACCTGCACGGCTCCCCCTCAGGGCACTGCCTCTCCTCACGGAGGCCACTAGTCTGACCCGACGGTGGCGGGATGGCGGCGGCTGTTGGGGCAGGGTCACTGGTTCTAATGGTGGTGGCATGAGGCGAGCGGGCAGCGAGGCGGCGGTGGGCCCTGGCCATTTGCCCCATCGGTCGTTGGTTGCTGCTGACAAAACTGAGGCTGTTTAAAAATGTTTCAGAAGGAAAAAAAAACAGAAAACAAACAAAAATAAACAAAATCCAGACAAACAAAACATCAAACGCGGGGCACTTTCGGTCTGGGCCGCTTTAGGCCATGGTTTGGTGCTGGGCGTGACTGAAGGAGGCAGGCCTGCTTCCCTGCCTTGCCCTTCAGCCGTGGCCTGCTCATCCCACTGCCTGCTTGAGTGGAAGCTGTCGCACGTGCAGTGTAGGGCAGTTGTGGGAAAAACGTAAACAAACAATCTGATTTAATACAATGCCATACAATACGATACAACACAATACAACATAATAAGCATTTTGTGGCAGAAGGTCACACATTAGTTCTGACCGGGGGTCATATGTAACTGGATCCTCAACTCACAAATAATTGTACCAGTTCTACTGGAGACACAGCAAACTGTAGAGTAAAAACAAGTGGGTAAGAAGAGGAAAAGGATTTTTTAAGCTGGTGTCCACCACTGAGGCCATCCGTTTTCCCAGCTACCTTCTGAAGTTCAGCTGCTCACCCAAGCTTGCAGAAGCAGGAGTAGTAATGCTGAGGCCTGTTCGAACCATGACCAGCCAATACAATGTTAAAAACAATAATCCTCTTCTACACTGCATGATTAGTTATTTTCAACATAATTACAACCCGAACATCATATTTCAGCACAACTCTGGTGTGAAAACAAACTCAGAGAGAGAAGCTAGGAAGGTTGCAACTTGTTCTTTTGAGTACAGTTTCTTTAAGTCTACATGAAAACCAGTTGAGTTTTCAAGCAAATCCTAACTGGAAGAATGTAAATAATGCAATTAAGTCTTCTGAATGAGAGCCATACTGCATCTGTGTTCTTAATAGCTAAAAAAAAAAAGATGCCCTTGTATTGCAGTTAAGTTAAAGTCAAGATATTTCTTCAAAACATGCAACTTGTTCAATTTCCTTTTCTTAAGGGAATAGAGATTATCTTTGAAAAGCAAATCACACCTTTTGTTTCGCCTGCCTAGATAAGCTGTGATTTTAAATACTGCACAGATCACTTACAATATATTCTGAAAAAAATGCAATAGTCTGCATTGCAAACATTCTCATTAAAACTACTCTCTGTGCGCCTTTATTTATAAGGGAAAATAAATGTACATAACAGTGTTGTTAGAGGCAATGTCTGTTGCATGCACACACTGACTTTTTTACAGTTGCATTACACACATTGTAAACATCATAACACTACGAAACAAATAATTTTAATATGCTTTTAATATAATCATCAAAGTAAAGAAACATTTGAATCCTTAATGGAATCTAATTTAAGAACATTTACATTCTAGTGATTTTTAATTGTACATTAGTAATGAATAATTTTTGTAAGGAAAAGAGTATGTCCATGTACTCAGCATTCCTGGCATGCCTGCAGCATTACTTCTAGTTCAGGAATCTAAAATCCTGAAAAATAAGAAAAAGCTTTAGCTGTTGGTATTATATGACACTAAATACTTAAAATATGGTAGAGATGTGAGATATATTAGAAAACAGAGCATTACAATATTGGCATAGGGAAACTTTTTTATACCTCTCCAAAGAACTGAATGATTTGAAATTAAATCCTGAAGCCTGTACTTAGTTTCAGTGTGAGGTTTTTTTCTGTGTAAGAACAGGGAGATTACCCCCAGGACGTCAGTATGTATTTGACAGGTAGTTGTATCAGTTCTTCCTGACATACACGTATCATCATTGTAAACTTTCCAAACTGTTTACAGATCTGGGATATTTTCCATTTCTTGCTGCCTGAAACAGCTCTGAGTTCTCAGTTCTAGGAAATGAGTATCTACAGCTTCTATTCACTTCACCTGAAGATATGTGAATTTAACACATCTGGGAGAAGCTTGCCTGCAGAAAGCTAAGTTGACAAAACAGTTAAAGGCTTTCTGATACTACTCCTCAACATAAACACTGTGCCTTATTTGTATAAAAATAAACTAATTTAAATATAGATTGTGATTAAAAGCATTAAATAAATACCTCCTTAACGAAAATCCACTGATCTCCTTCCGTTACGTGGCTGAAAGACAAATATCCAATAAGGACTCTATAAAACTGACTGGTTTTAGTATCAAAGTCCCACCCAACTTGGTATGCATAGAAATTGGGAAATTTCTCAGTTCTGTCAGCAGGATCATCACTAAAGATAAACCTGAGACCAGTTATTATTTAATGTATATCCACCCCTGGAGGAAAATTATACAGTAAAATTTACTGTATACAGATTGAGGAATGAATTATGCCCATCCTGTATGATTTTATAAGAGGGACAAAGCCACAAGAAGTCACTCTAAGAGACCATTATCCCTCATTCTTTTTTTAATTTTCTTAAGATGTTCTTCCAGATTGTTGTTATTATTGCATTATAAGTGTTTGTTGTAATTAACAAAGAAACATAGGTCACTCAATTATTTTATTTTTAGACTGTGTTCTTTGACATAGGCAAAGAGTTTCTCCCTTTTCACCATGGTCATTTCAGAAATATTTTGCACTACAAAGGAACTTCATACAATGTCTACTAAAGCTGATACAAAATCTCTTGCTGAGCTTACTAAAAATTTGCTTTTCATTCTGGCATCATGGATGCATTGATGTTAATATTACTCATAACTTTGGCCTGTCATAAGAACTCTAAAGATCCGATCCTGATACCTAAGAAATATGACTATACAAATTTGCCTTCTTTTCATTAGCCACTTTCTTATTTCAATGTAAAAAAAAAAAAGATAAACCAAAATCAAGAGAATTATTATTAAGTTTGACTAGCCATCTTTAACTTGCTCAGTTTGCAAAAATGGAGTAAAAAGGCTCTATGGCATCAACGATGAACAGAGTAGCTTCACTCTCATGAGAATTTCTGTTTCTAGTTTCTAACCTTACTGGTCAAAACACAAGGGAAACAGGAAGGTCAGGCCCAATATCTGCTTTGGTACAGTATGTAAGCATGACATTGTATTTATATCGCATGCAAACATGCCATATTGAATAGTGCTTTAGAAGGATTGTCCAAGGTGACATACTTTCTAGAACTTTCTCTGAGAATTATATACATAATAACCAATGACTTATTAAGACATAGCATGGTATCATGTATATACAAACATTAAGATGTGTACAAAAACATCCTACTAAGTCTTTATTTTAATCAAATAAAATGTCTGGAGCAGATCTTGAGTAGTCCTATACAGCGGCATGCTCTTACTGAAAAAAGTTTGCCCAATCACAGTAATTCTTACAGTAATTCACTGGTTTCTCTACTTCTTGGTTTATACCACTCATCACAAAATGAAAAGGAAAAAAGCCGAACAAACCATACCCTGTAGAAAAAATAGCCTCTACTTTGAATCCCTCCAGGTCCTTGAAGTGCTTCCTGAAAAAAAAGTATTTTAAATCATATCTACTCTCATAAATGAATCCATATAGAGAGGTTGTTTATGTACTTATTAGAAGTATTTCTTCAGTACTACTATACATGCCTTAAGGCATGCTTCCTGTATATTTCTCCCTGTCAGTAATAAGAAGTTCATGTTGTCATGTAGAAAAACAAATGAATGATGGCCAAATTCCACCTCAAGTTTTGGCTCAGTTCAGATTGCCTTAGAATGGTACTAGTAATGACGAGCAGCCTTTGCCTTTGACTTTCCAGGTTTCATTACCCAGATACAATCAAAGTGTCTTCATGGTAGTGGAGTCTCTATGGACAAAGTAGAGTTGGTCTTTGCACCTCGCAGAAGGACAACAATCCAAAGCTTAAATATCAGAAATACTTGGGCTCCTCCCAGGAATGAGATCCCAGACTGTTCCCAGAGATGTATCACGATCGCCCTTCTCGGATTAACTCCCAGAGAAAAGACCAGTGCTTATGACATTCTGTCATGTCCGTGCTGCACACATTGAGAAACAACTGTCTCCTGATCCATACAGCAAGGAGGGAGTGAACGATGAAGAAATTACGTTTAAATGTAACAAGTACAAAGCATGGAGTATCCAGTTGCTTTAATGAGACCTTCATGATTAGAGAACACATAAGCTTAATCACAGTATTTTCACTGCTTATGTTAATACCAGATATATCAGTGAGGTGTCTGTCCTGAAGGTGGGGAGATAGGCCAGTTGAGAAAGAAAATAGTTCGAATGTTGTGCTTACCAGAACATAAAATTTAAATGGAATTTTTTTGGCAATGATGGTATTTCTCAATTAAAAACTGGGGTCATGTGTTCTCTTGGGTAATGATCGTAACCTGAGCTGTCATAGAAAGACATCATGCTCTTCATGCTCTATTCCAACGCTGTATGAATTGTGTAAAACAGGATGGCCCCCATCATTGCCAAACACAGGAGAAGCTTCAATTCAGGAAAGCTTTCAAAGGAAGTAGGGTTTAAACTACACATCGTTTTTGAGTCTTGCTTTTAATTTTGACTTCAGTTCATCAGGTATACCATTGTACCCAGTTTCTTTGCTGTACATAAAACATCTGGATTATTTTTATTTACATTGTCCACCTCATTGTAGCATCACCTGGTTTGAAATACCCGTCTCAGATCTATAATCCATTCAATACTATAGTTTATATTTTAAAAAAAGGCTAAAAATTTATCTGTTAATGGAGTCTTGTTCATTGCCATTGGAGTGTCCTATGATATTTATATTCCATCCTTTTTCTGTCCAATATGTGAACAAAACCAGAAATTGAATAGGCAGCTGTTGCAAGTTAAAGAAATTGATCTAGAACATAAAAGGAATCAAGACCACAACTACCAATATGGAACTGTGATTTATTTTATGAACTTTTAACATGTTAATATGCCATTCTCTACTTAAAACAAGACACCTCTTGAAGAAGACTATGTAGTTTCCTTGTCTGATTTCATGTCAGAAGGTTGGTATTAGAAAACAACTGAAGCTAAAATCTGTCTTCATTGTGACCCTTGCCTTCTAAACTTCCAAGGGTTTGGAGATGTTAAAAAAAATAACTAATACATGCTGTAGTGTACATGCATGTATATTCACAAACCTGCATGTATATATGTATACAGAAACATATGTATTCATGAAGAAGTAGGGTAATTTGGAGTTTAGTGCCTGCCCTCTAAAAGTTATCTAGTTCAGTCTCTTAGATTGACTTGCCAACAAAGTGCTCTTGCTTCTTCTTAGATCATATTATCACAGCCAAGATGGAGCTCAAGAGGAATCAAATTCATAACAAAATCTGGTGTCAGTCCAGACTGGGAAGAAAGAATAAATTTAATAAAGTATGTTTCCTCCTTCACCCATTCACCTTTTCAATTCTTTGTCTGGTCAGGGAGAGAGGTGGGTGTGCTCATGTAGAGCAGGTTCTGGTTTTCTTTCCAGTATTAGGAAAAAAAAAAAAAATAGCAGCAAGCTAACCCTTCCTGAAACACATTCTGCGACACTGGAGTCAGATAGTCCAGCCAAAGGTGGGCAGCCCACAGGAACATGGGGGCTTCCTGCTCCATGGGAGTTCCTCTGCACATCTTGGGCAGGGTTGCTCTGATCCTCTACTGGCTTCAAAGTTTACCTATGCCATCTCCCCATCAGCCCTTGGAAAGATAGATTTATAGTTTTCTCACATTCAGAGAATAACTGCACTACTTTTATTATTGATGGCAGATTATTTCAGTATTTTCTTAATTTTTTATGAACTGGTATGGCCCTCAGCAATAACATTTAGTGAGGATTTTAAACTCTCATACTAAAATATGCTGAATTCTGCCATATGAACAAATATGATAAGCATAATATGGATGAATTTCAAAGATTTGTTATGACATTAAAGTAAATAAGGTGCACGCAAAAATACCAAAACCAAAAGAGTCTGCAAAGGAACCTGATTCCAGAAGACGCTAGCACTTTGTAAACGTCTGGTGTGTATGCACTGTACAGGAGTAAATAACACCTTTAACAAGGTGACTGGT